TGAGCTTTGAGGTTCCTCCAGAACAGAATGGAATGTGATGCAGGGGAGTGCAGTAAGAAGGAAGGACTGGCAGAAATTGCTACTCTACACTCTTGCATAACTCCACTCACAGAAGAGCTTGTGCAAGAGGGGAGGGAGGAGGTTTCTGCCAGTTTTTCCTTCTATTGGAGCTCCCTGCATTGCATTACTCTGTGTTCCTGAAGATCCACTGATCCTTTGGAGCAGCTTTTTGAGGAGTGCAGGGATCTACATGGGGACAGGAAAAGGAGGAGATATTAATTCCATGAACTTGTTTTGTTCACTGTCCATTGGGTCTAACTCTTATGATTAAAAAATGCGGGCCCATTTCCTATTACAGATTGTTACTGGAATCGTCAAGCTCTGAACAGGTTCTGAGAACATCATTCATGAAAAATATATATGTCTTCTGACTTTAAATTTTGAATACCCAGTTGGCCTTTTCACATGAATACATTGAATCACATCTCATGAAAAATGCCAAATAAGACAGAAAACAAGCCAGCTATTCTGTGTACCTAATGCTTATAGGAGTTCACGAGGAACAAGGCAGCTGGATTCTCTGTTTGTTGTCTTGTGGCACATTAAATCAGGGCCAGAAATTTAAGACTATACATGTCAAAGCTATTTACAGAAGACATTAGAATGGGGGCACTATGAGTAATAAAAAGACATCTAAGCTGTTATGTAGCCACCCCAAGAAGATTGTGATATATTTCATCATATAATACATGAGGTGATAATAGGACTCAAATAGGTGAAGCAAATCTGGGTGTTTGCGTGAATTAATATAATTAGTACTAAAGAGAACATACTCAGGACACTCCAGGAGGCATTGGCCTTGGTGCAAATAACGTGGTTCATCTAAATCAGATCGACACTTCAAACAATGGTTGGTTTTAATGCATTCTTCACAGTCACCTGTGCAGCTCTCACACTTCCTCATCCTCATATTTCCAAAAGTTCCTTGGGGGCAAGGGGAGATACAGGACTCAGCAAAAAGAAATTTCCCTGAAAACAATAGAAAGGACGCAGTGTTACTGAAAAACCAATACCTTGCTTTCTGATACAGCAAATTTTAGGATGTGGTTGTTAAGCTACTTTCTCACTCCAAAACAGCATGAGATGTTTCCTTATATGCATATGATATCAGTAATAATAATTTATGTTTTTCTTTGAAGTGGAAAAATGCCTTGTCATTCTGCATTCTAGGTTACATTCAATAAACTGAGTGAGGTTCTGCTTTGCTCACTGAACAGAACTTTCCCTCCTCCCCCTTCCCACTGCACCCCTTGAGGTTCAAGGGACCCCCCCCCCCCAAAGCAATAGCACTGGGCATGAACATCAGCAAAAGATAAACCCAGCGCACATGCACACACATCCCTCAGCGGAAAGGCCCTCCAGCTAGCAGAAGATGGCCAAAATGATATATATTTGATTATCTTATTCTCACAACCCTTTAATGTACATTAGGATGAAAGACAGCTATTTGCTCAAGGCTAGCCAATATGCTTCATGACTTAGTACAGATGTGAAGTGGGATTGGAGAAATTCAAGCCTCTCATAGGCCAACAGGCAGACCCTCTTTTTGTTAGCTCCTTGTTAAGCCTTAAACAGGCAAAGGAATGACATCTCTAAGGATTCCAGATTGTGCAACTGAATAGATACTCCAGAGCTCTTTAAAATGCATTCTGTATACTGAACCACATCTGGGGTCTCAAAGCATTAGTCCTTCCTTTGCCTGTGGTAACAGAGTCTGTCAGACAGATGAAAGGCAGGCAGATATCCTGTTTTGCTAATTTTTCTGAGCAGCATAAATTGCAAAGTCATTCTTTTTCTTGTACATAGCAGGCTGCTGGTATTTTCTAGTTTGCTATGAAAATGTAGTAGGAAATTTGAGAGAAGTCCAGACAGTCTTGGCCTGATGCCTTTCCTACACAATTTTTCATGGCACAGGAGATGCATATGAGTGTCAAGAAAATGGTATCCAAAGTAACTGTCCCATGTTGCTTCTTGGTAAAGCAAGATAATAAGATAGGTGCCTTTAAAAAAAATATTTCAGTTGATTAGATAATAACACTGCCTCTAATTTGTCTAGGATCCTACCCTATGGCATGCTTAGCCCATTGCTTCCCCATAAACCGTGCCTGCAGCCACAGGCCCATTGTGAGCAGGGCCGAGCACCAATGCCAAAGCATGATTAGATGCTTTCATTACGAGACTGCAATCCTAAAAGGACCACATCTGTTTTTATTTAATAGACTGTTTCCCTCCAGCAACTTTGTTTAGCAAACCTCCAAACTGTTTTTGACACTTCCACAAAGGCCACTTAACAAATGCCTGCACTTTACTTGCTGTTTCATCACTTCATTATTCAGTCCTTGAAATTTACCACTGAATGTATGAATCAGCTTTTTTGAGAAATGCTGTGTTTAAGGTGACAACAAATGATACAAAATTCTATCAGCGGGTCTTTCACTTATGCTAGTAATTGTGGTATTTGTTGAGAGCTCTGTTCCTTTAATCCAGGCCTGTGTTTTAGACTGCCCTTGTCCATTTCGGGACTTAGTGTGGGCATGAACAGAGAAAAAGTAAGTTGTTACTGCAACTACGCACAAAGAAAGAATCATAGTTATTAACTGTGCTCCTGTTTAAAACCATCCTGGCTCCTTATTCTGATGGACACAACAGTAATCATTGGATGTTTCAGTCACTGAATGATGCATATGTATGTGTGAATGGGGCCCATGTTTCGAAGGCAGCTTTGAATTTGTTGAAGAATAGAGTTGCCAGGATGAGGCTGGCAACCTCCAGGAGACTGACCGGGGGGGGGGGGGGGGGGGGGGGGCTTGCCAGCCAGCTAAAGACATTGCCAGCAATGTGATGACATAACTTCTGATGTGAACAGAAGTGATATTACTGTGCTGCTGGCAATTCTCTAGCATTCAGCCAAAACACTATGGTTTAACGATTGCCAGTGATGCAATATCACTTCCAGGGGTGCCAGTAGTGATGTTATCAAGTCAGGATGCTGCTTATTGCCCTCTCCCCTTTTCTTCTGCTACCCAGCTGAGCAGCAGCCAGAAGGGTTGGATGGGCATGGAAGGTCTCCCACCTGAAGTGGGAACCTGTTTGCCCTGTTGAAGAATGACAGCACAAAGAAATATGACCCAATGAAATCCTCTTCTACATAGGCTGTTACTTGCATGCAGTTTACTGGAACAGACCCAAAGTTTGCATGGTATTTTAGAAATCCCACTTTTTAGAAATCCCACTAAGTCTCAGATACTAATGACTTATTAATGATATAAACAAAGCAAGTAATAAAGGAAGAAATAAGAATTGTATTATTTTTCTGGAGGGAAAAATAGTATATATCTTGGAAGAATAGTAAAATTTCAAGAGCTAGTTATGATCTCTAGGGAATATACAGTATACCAAAATATTTGATAATGCAAAGATAATATGCTTTAAAAGCTAAATTTTGCTACCTAGAGGACATGAAGTGCATGCATGAGCCGTTTTTTCACAGGTTTTGCATGGAGGATCACATGGCTGAAACTGAGTACTTGTGGCTGTATCAGGAAAAGAAAGAAAAAGTGATTTTATAATTTGATATTTTATAGATGTTTGCATCATGCCAGAATACCTCATTCCAAAAATTATTGTCATTAGAGAGAATTGGAGAGCAATGCAAATGATACTGAGTTAATTAAACATCATACAATATAATAAATAATATACACATAATATATAAACAACACATTATGAATCAGATAAAGGAGGAATAGCCCTTTTCATATGACAGTCATGCTTCAAATGAATGCATGCAGAAGGGACACAGCTGAACCTGCTATCCCCTCTCTTACCTCCATATTATTTATTTATTTAATTTAAAACATTTGTATGCTGCCCTTCGACCCAACTCAGGGTTCCTATATGCCCATCTAAAGGTCAGAGAAATACCTATGTATGCACCACTTATATGAAATAGGCTCTTTCTAAGCAATCAGGTACCCTGTATTTTGGTACACATACTTTACAGAACACGTGTATACAGGTTATATTATCCATCCCAACAGCTTTCACCTTGCAGCAGGAAACTGATTACTCAAGTATGTTCTCAGTGTTGACATAAAACTACAGCATGTGACAAGATACCAGTATGGGCGAGGCATTGTGACACATTCTGGATTTTAAGCAGCAACTGAGCTAGTCACTTCTTCTCCAGTGAAGAATCATAATGTTCATATAATGTTCATATGATGTTTTGAAAATATTTGCAGTATGCTTAGTTTCCAGACAGTTAATGTAGTATTTCTGATTCTCCACCAGAGGGAAATATATACTAGGAATAGAGGATATGTGTGAAGCATATGCCACACTATACACTTGTCAGCCAACCATTTTACTGCCTTCCAGTCATGTATAAACACTTAATGAATACTTATGTTCAGAGCTGCTTTCGACATTGCCTGGGCCTTAAGGTACATGAACGATCACATTGGTGGAGAGTTATTAATCCCTCTGTGCCAGAGAAGATAGAAAACTTCCACAATGTTGCTGAATGTTTTCCTTCAGTGGGAAACAGATGTGTGCATGTTGTCTTTCCTATATGAAAGACTTCAACATTTAATATAACATAAAACTCTTCCAATAGACAATCTTTTATCCGGATGTATAAAGATATAGCAGAATAATTTTGTTCCGTTATCCAGCAGTATCCCTCTGTTGTATTCACTTGATAACCTTATCTACGTGTATTGTGTCATCATTCAAGGAAGATTTAGCAATGCTAACAAGGCAAATCCTTGGTGCAGCTCCAAGGAGAAGAGCTAGAGGGATTCTACACAGGCAATAGACAATTATCAGTCAGCTTAAGCTGTATTTGCACAGTGATATGTGGGCTGCACAGGACTGTTCTTGAATTTTGTAATTAAGTTGTATTGTATGTACGATACAGTTTTCTAATCATTCTCTGATTTTGTAATTTAGTTTTTATCGTATGGTCTGTTGCATGTATTATACTGTTTCTATTGCAAGTGGTGTGATCAGCCTTGTGTCTCAGAGAGAAAGGTGGACTATAAATGAAGTCAGTAAATCTTAAACTACTTGTGATAATTATAATTGATACTATATTTGTTCAACAGTTGACTTTATACCCGTTCAAAAGCAGGTAGATTGAAATTCCTATTAATTAATGACCACTTTTACTAGGCACTTTTTTAATTAAAAAAAATCCAGTTGGATCACATGAAGCCTTAATGAAAGGAATTCACAGAACAGACTCTTTCTCTCCTCTCCCCCTGTATCTTCTGAAAATTTCCTTCTGAGGGTCAGGAGAGTGTTAGGAACAGAGTGGGAAGCAGAGCAGGAGCCGTAGTTTAAGTGAACCTCTCTCCTGCTTGCACTATTACAGCAAGAACTCTCACAAAGAGAGGGAGTTATTTCTGCCAATTGCCCCTGTTTTTATGCCTGAGAGTTCAGAAACATTAAGGATTCCCCTTTTACAATGCATAATGTCAACATTCTAAATTGGGTCTTTATTCAAATTGGATAGTGTGGCTCTTGTGCTTCTTAATTGAAAATGAATGGGATTATCTCACATAAACTTTCTGGTATAACTGTCCCTGAAAACTGATCAATTCGGAAGCAAACCTGTTAATAAGGTGAGGATTGGTGGTGTTGTATTGAGCCTGAACTGTACTTGCAAAAGGACTCAGCTTGGGGATGCATAACAATAGCTTGCTAGGATCCTAGAATGGACCAGTAGGGTGGCAGGGATCCTAGAGTAACCCAATTGGGAAACAATGGAGTGTAAATAGCCTATAGTTGGGAGTGGGGTGTGTTTGGCGTTTAACCTTTTTTCAGGCATATATATCCAGCTTCGGCCAGGGGTTTCTCAGTCTTCTTTTTCTTGCTGAATCACAAGTAAACTATGAGCTGATCACCTGAACACGTCTGAACCCAGTATAATTCAGGCAGGAAAAAAATGATACTGCTTTGCAGCATCACAGCGATGAACACATACCTTGATAACCAATTTAGTTAATGTAGCGAGTAGCAGGGATGTGATCTGATTGAGCTACCTTTGTTCCCCAGTGGGGGCATTATTTCTTATATTTCATTTTTCTTATGGCTTTGCAGATCTTGATAAGGTATAATATAAAGAATATATACATATAATAAAAATTCAAGAATTCTAGCCAGTCTCTGAAACCTATCAGAATTATAAATTAGAGGGAACTATGGAGTAGCTAAGAATGAAGTCAGCTACTCAACATTTTTCAGTCTAGTTATCCCAGTGACAACTACAATATTGATTTAAGAAGAAGAGGAGGAGGAGGAGGAGGAGGAGGAGAAGGAGGAGGAGATTGGATTTATACCCCGCATTTCACTACCTGAAGGAGTCTCAGAGCGGTTTCTCCTTTCCCTTCCCCTCCCCACAACAGACACCCTGGTGAGGTAGGTGGGGCTGAGAGAACTGTTCTGAGGACTGCTCGTGAGAGAACAGCTCTGAAAGAACTTGTAACTGACTTAAAGTCACATCAGCAGCTGCATGTGGAGGAGTGGGGAATCAAAGCCAGTTCTCCCAGATTAGAGTCCACACTCCTAACCATTACACCAAACTGGCTCTCCAATTTAATAAATGAAAGTCTGAAATACACTTATGCAACTCCAAGGGGATGAAGCAGAACATAATATAACTGTCTGCATAGATTTCTTTTACTCCACACATTTGAAAACCAAAGGGCAGGAACGTGTGGTGATCTGCACAATTCTGAGATCAGGTGATATCTAAGGGTGAACAAGGGAGAGATGGAGTTAGTATAAGTGCTAGCTAGCAGGGTCTGTCCCCACCCCCACCCCCGTGTCAGTCAGCACTACTGTGATATCTATGTCAGTAGGACATCATATTTAAAAATGCATGAATCATTCAAACTTACCTGAATAAGATGGGGGAAAGGGTTAATCCTTCCATGTGATGTCTCCTGAGATTCTCACTGCAGCATCAGCCCACAGGAGATGGGGGGGAGTTGCTTATCTACTATGCTGCTTTTTAAAAAGCAGTTTTGTACAGCTTTTACACCCTAACTTTTCCTTTTAGTGGTTTGTTTTAATCACTTTGTAATTTTAATAGCTATCCTTTAATGGCCTTGTTTTGTTGTTCTAGTTGCAAGCTGCCTTGAACAGGCTTCTGGAGAGGCAGTGTTTCGGTTCTCGAAATTAATAAATCATTATTCCATCTGCCTTTTTAGATGCTTTTTCAGAGTTTATAATTTCTGCTTTGTTGTTAATATGGTAGTTAGTGTAATTTTGGAGATTATAGGGGTGTTTAGTTTGATGGTTCAGTTTTGTATTTTACCTTGAACCATATGCTTTATATAATTTTGTAGCCTATGAGTTGTATGAATGCACATATTAATAAATGAAAAAATGGAATGGCTTTTTAAGAGAGATTTCTAATTTTGAGTTTTTGTACCTGTGTTGGATGCTTTAGTTGGAATAATATAGTTACCCCCAAAGCCTAATCATTTCCTTTATGATCTGCTGGCTACCAGTGGGAACAGGAGGGAAGGATGTTGTCCTGATGGTGTGATGTCAAGGTTTGCCAGGGAACCAGCAGGAGATGGGACAGGCAGGGACTCAGAGTTGGGGGGTGGGGAATCAGTGGGCCTGGAGCAATGATGTCGCTTCCAGCATGACCCAGAACTGATGTTCCAGGAATGATGCTCTAGCTTTCACCCCAAACTCTATGGTTTAAAGATTGAGTTAGTGGCAAATGCTAGAGTTCAGCCAGTGTCATAATGTCACTTCCATGTTGCACCAGAAGCAACATCATTATGCCAGGGACACAGATTGTACCTCCCCCCCCCTTTCCCCAGGCATTTCCTCCTCTCACCCAGTGAGCAGTGGTGAGCAATGGGAACTGTGGGTGTGAGGATGGGAACCCTAGTAATATTACTTCTAGCAAATACAGGGAAGTGACATCACCACGCTAGCACAACATCTGTAGGTAAAGCTATAGAGTTTGGGCCAGATCCTAGAGTGTCACATCAGTGTGCCAATATCACTTCCAGATATTCTCTCCCACTACCCTGCTAAGTGGTGGCAGGCAAACAAAAGGGAGGCTTAGAGGTCTCCCTGCTCTGAGAACTTGGAGGTGGTCTGGAGGTACCCTTAGATTCTCACATTCTCACCTCGGCAGCAAGCTGAAAGACTTTGCCTGTGCATGGCATAGCCTAGCAATGCCTGGCAACAGAACATGCCTCACGGCCTCTTGCCTAAGGCTTTAACAAGTCTTGTTGTGCACACATCATGAGTGCTGGTTTCAAAATGAAAGCTGAAGAGCAGAATGTCAAGTGTAATTTTAGAAATGCATTTTGAAAAGCATCCCAAGCTGAAAACACATTTTTTATTTTCTATTATTTTCAGGAAATGTATCAAAATTTGAATGTATTTCAGGACTAGGATTACCAACCTCCAAGTGATGTCCTGAGACAGAAATCAGTTCCCCTGGGAAAAGTGGCTGCTTGTAGGGTAGACTCTATGGCATTATACCACAGTGAGGTCCCTCCCCTCCCCAAATCCTTCGCTCTCCAGGCTCCACCTCCCACAATTCCAGGTACTTCCCAACCCAGAGTTGGCAACACTATCCAGGACACAGTATTTTGTATGAAATATCTCTTGACATTTTATTTTGATAAAGGTTTTGGAACAAGCTCAACTGTAAAAGATCTGCAGGCTTTTTAGTTTAGGGGTTTTAAAACACACACAGAGAAATCACGCTAAATTGATTTTCTCTTTTGCCTCTATTCAAAAAAATATGGTGATTCCATGCTTTAAATGAAGAACATAAAAGGTTGGGGATGTTACATCTGCAACAATAAAGCCCCTTCAGCTTGTTAAACATCTAGTCTAGTTGAACCACTGTGTGTTTTCAAACAATGAACCAAGTTCTTCAATATTTTGTCTCCTGGCTCCCAAAATAATGTCATCATCTGGTACACAAGATAGAATACAGATGTTCTGAACTATACACATAGGCTCAGACAATCTTTTCTTCTTAGCTTATCCTTTTTTAAAAAAAAAAATGCTTGAATACCAGACAAATTTAGATCCATTATTTCAAACCTCATCACATTTTATCCTGCTTAGGGACTGAATTTCTTAATCTCCTCAGTGGGTATGCGAATCTGTCATCCTATCAAAAAGTTGTTATATATATCTGCAGCCTGAAACTAGAATACTATCCTCACATATGTTCCTTCCTTCTCTACCATAGTCCCCAAAAACTGATGACCATGTATTTGTATTGTCTTCCCTTTTCACAATGGGAATAAGGGATGGAGAAGATTCTGTGATGCATGGCAATTTGTGACTGTGTGAACAGATTCTTCGATGAGGCACATGAGAGGTCAGTAGACTATGTTTTGGGGTTTTCCTCTCTGCCTGTTATTCATGATCATAGAGGAGGTGATCTGCACATAGAATCCTGTTTGGATCAGGTCCCACGGGTCAGTATTTTCTCTCTCTCTCTCACACACACACACAAAAAACCCTCAACCATTCTTTCATTTATACTTATACAAGGAATACGCACTGAGTCCCCCCCCCCCCCATTTAGAAATCTTACTTCTACAAGTGGGAAGAGATTTCAATGTTAATCTCTATCTAATGATCTTTCAAAATGCAAGACATCTCTTTGTAATCATAGGCAGAGTTCTGGGCATTCTCTGAGAGAGAGCATTTTTGAACTATTACTGCCAAAACACAAAGTAATGAAAGTCCATTTATGATTATTAATTCGCTAATGATGATTGCCTGGCACCTAAATAGAATTACCCAGTCATGATTCCAAACGTATTCTTGGACCATCACTTCAGTTGCCCAATGGAACTATGGCTACTTCCCCTCCTGCTTCATCCTCATTCCCAAACGGAATGAGGATCGAAGCAGAGGGCGGGGTAAAGAAGGGGCGGGGCTTCACCACGTGGCCGCCCCGCCCCCTAGAGGTTCTCTTCCGGAGCTCCGTACCTGAGAGCTCCCCCCCGACTAGAGCCCTGGAACTATGAAATGTTTTGATTAAACAGGGTTTGTGGCAATTAATATTCTAGTTAGGTTAAGTTGACATTATAATGTATAACTTTATATTAAGATTGTATTCACTTAAGCCCCAAAGTAATTTTATTTCTATTAGTATAATTGTCCTAATTATACAAATTATGAAATATACTAGAAGGGTATTATTTCAACTGCTACGAATAATTTCCTAAGCCATTTTTATGCGGTGAAACCATTACAAGTTGCATTTGGGCTATCTATGCAGCAGCTGTTGGATCAAAAAGGGGTCTCTGGTATGTAGCACTTTTTAAGGAATGTGACTCGAATAGCTAGGCATACATGAATCCCTAGCTGAATCAGGACAAAACTATTTTGTGTCTAGTGTGCTAGAATAGTGCTCTTGAGACCAGTGTAAGCCACAGAGGATTCTACTGATCTTTGTGCTGATCCAAATGGACTAGCAATAGTGGCACAGTTTTTAAAAATCAGTGCTTGTAGACTCAATCCAACTCACATTTAGCTTCAGTTGTGCTACTTTCTCACTACTTTGCTAATATTGCTACAGGTGCTGCAGGAAGCAATCATATGGTCCGTTCTATTTTATTTATTAGAATATACAACCCATTTTTCCTGGCTCAGGATGACTAACAATATTTTAAAATAGTTTTTAAAAAGTCTTACATTTCTTCCGGACAATGCTCGGGCTTTTACTTTGGTGAACCTCCAGGGGAAGGGGCTTCCACAACTGTGGAGCAGCCACCGAGAACACCTCTCTCACTGCCCTTTCCACCTGGCCTCTGTACACGGATGGCACAATCAAGAGATCATTCTCAGCTGACTGTAAAGATTGCGAACGGGCATAATGGAGGAAGTGGCCTTTCAGGTCTGCAGAGCCCAAGCCATTTGTGGTGTGCAGCTTCTCTCTCTCTATCAGTAAAATAGGATTGATAATAATTATTCAGCTTTATGAAACAGAATAATAGTCTCAGAAGAGGCAAAACTACTAGGTGACATTATTTGGTGATTAGGATAATTTACTATATATTAATCAATACTACCTTAATGTTATTGATTGATTGATTGATTGATTGTTGTCCAGGTCATACTGATTACGGTAAAAATCTTGAATCAGCTGGTGAATCAGATTGTTTTAATAACGTGACAGTTTATCACTAATCATTCAACTAAACTATAGACATGTTTCTTTACGTAGAAATCCATAGAATTCTAAAAACTCTACTTTGATGTAGAGTGATCTGTAGCAGAAAAACAACACAAACAAGGGGGGAAATTAAAAGCCCTTCTCTCCCTGTGCTGGTTGCATCCTTGAAATTGCTGTCCTCACAGCGGCATTCTGCCGGGGACGATTGATATGTTAAAACAGCCCTACAGCAAGCTGAGGCAAGCAACCCCTGTGGTGCTGGCAGTGCCATAGGGACGGCTTGACTTAGATCTGGGCTGCAGTGATGGCAATAGCTAGACCCATTGTTATCAATGTCATGGCCTAGATCCCGGCTGCTTGGTCTAATGCCAGCACTGGGGAAGCCATTTGGCCCAGCTTGTTCCTGGCCTTCTGTGGTCTTCCAGAACAGCAGCCACGAGCAGTTAAAAGTTCAGTGTACTGCTAGGCTTCCTTTTTTTTTTTTAAGTCAGGAATAACAGTCACAGACCAACACGTAATATGTATTTCTGTCCTCGGTTACAATGAGTGCTGAGAGTATATGTGGAGAGGGAAGGAAGGAGGAGACAAGAAGGTCCGTGCCACTTATACTTTAAAATGTTATGTTTCTTTTATGTTTGATTGATTATAACCAGGCTATTCCTTTTTGTTATTTCCAAATAATAATAACTGTCTGCTGTCAAGTTGAAATCAATGCATGGGGGACTCTAGGACCGTGGGGCTTTCAAGGTAAGAGATGAGCAGAGGTGGTTTCCCATTACGTTTCCTTTGCATAGCAATCCCAGTCTTCCTTGGTGGTCTCCCATCTAAGTACTAACCAGGCCAACTGTGCTTAGATTCCAAGCTCTGATGAGATGAGGCTAACTGGGGCTATTCAGGCTGCTGTTATTTCCAAAGGACACTATATTTAAAAAAAAAATCCCCAGTCCAAACTAAGGAGCAGCACCTTGGTATACTTTTGCCATGGAATGTAATTCACTTCAAGTGAGACTCATTGCTACTCAATATATTCTATAAAAAAGTGTGGAGGTTATGCATTAAAAAGAACTTTTGATCATTGTGGATAGTTTTAATCTCTGTATTTAGCAGTGATGACATATATTAAAAACTAAATATGATATTTTAGATTTCTATAAACAAAGTCTGTTCTAGGATTTTGGAATTAAGTGGTTCCCTTTCTATCATAAAACAATAATGGTTACTGTGGGAGAGACATGAAAAGACTTAGAGAAACTAGAGCAACATACCATTCCAGAATTTCCCATCTACTTGCTTGCTTTTGGGCTTTACGCACTTTCCATGGACTAGTTCAAAAGTTCCTTTGCAGCTAGTACAGTCATTGTAGTTGAACCCTTCACATGTTGCACAGGTCCTGTGGCATGGTTCACATTCTGCTGTGATCTCATCACTGTAGAAACCTGCTCCGCAGTCATTCACACATTTCGCATCTGAAGCATAAACACAAAACCTTTATGTCAATATGTCAGCAAAGCACACATTAATACCTCTAATTGGAGAACTGGCAATACAGTGTGCTCTAATCACGGGACATATGTTCTAGTCTTATAAATGACTTAATGTGTCTTCATAGGGTCAACACAAGTCTTGGAGTATTTTAATAATTCTATGTTCATCCCCAGTCATTTTGACATAGGTTAGTTCATAAAAAGCCCACCCATGAAAAAAAAAACCCAGCATGGCTGTGAACACACATCATCAGTATTATAACTCCCATTCATTTAAAAATAAAGCATATATAACTGGGGAAAGTTTTGTGAGGTTCTGAGACTGATGGTTTGGCATTAAATGACAATCCTGGCACATGTTCCCTTTTCTTCCATGTTATACTCTGGCTAGGTTTTTAATGCTGGATTCTTAATACAGAGTTTTTAATTGTAAATAAGTTTTAATTATGTTGTTATTATCTTTAACCTTGTAAACTGCGTTGAGCACATTATGGAGAAGTGGCGTAGACATTTTGCAAATAAATAAAATGATCTGTTCATGCAGCAGAACCATTGGAAGCAGTTTACAAAAATTTCATAATGAATCATGTTGAATTTGGGCATGTTAGACCCTTTAAACCAGAAGATGTCCTGTATTTCCATAAGGGGTTTGATTATTTGGGGGAAAACTACAGTGATGGGAAGAGGACCCACAATGCCATAAATTCAAGATCACAGACAGACTCTTTCAAATGTATACCCATTTTTCCTTTCTGGGTAAAGCATGACATTTTCAAGGAGCTCATATATTACCAAGGAGAAAAAAGCCTTCTGTACACCAGTAACACTCATATTGGTCACAGCTTCCACAATGTGGGTGACAGTCTATGCAAAGGAGAGAGTTTTCATCATTGTAGGTATTCTGAGGACAACTTCTATAACACTCCTGCTTGTACCTAGAGATTAAAAAAAATGAAATATTGATACTGGTGTTCCTTATTCTGGAGGAGGCAGGCAACAAAAGAATAGATCGTAGAAGGTGTGAAATTGAATTGGAAGTGATCCGTGCACATGGTAAACATCCATTTCATCTTGAAAATGAGTACTGGCAATATTAGGCATGTTCTTAACTATGTGTTTTATCTGCTTTAATTATAATAATCCACCATTTTCTTTTCTTAGCTCTGAAATATCTATGTCAAAGCACTTGACAGCCTTGCAAAGAGAGCACTATTTTGTATCAGAAAAGGTAAAAAGAAATAGGTAGAACGAGAACTTACATATAATAATTATGAATGCATGATGTGCAGATTCTTGGGTCATCTGGAATTAAAAACAAAACAAAATGAAAACAAAAGACTGCACCAATCTCTCATTTATCCAGATTTTTTTTGCTCAGACAAAAAGAGTGGGAACATCTACAATGTTGTCAGGAACAGAGGGCAGTATTATTGGTTTGCATTGCTGCTTCTGTCTAAAATTTAAGTGGCACATTTCATTTGTTTTAAAAACCCTTCTACATACATTATATCAGCTCTGAGCTATACATCAGCTGTGTTAGGCAGGCCAGTATCTTTGCTCTTATATTTGCAGATGGGAAGCTAAGATAGACTACACAATATGTTGCTAAAGAAATTGTGGCTGAAGAAAAATGTGAATGTTTTAATACCCATTTATTTGTGTATATATATCCCTTGTGGTCAACAGGTGATTGGGTATTTTAGGTCAGTCTATGTTATTTGCTCATATGCCTTTAATTATTGCATTGTCTTGATCCAATGTCTCCTTATTCAACATATAGATCTGACTTTGCAGATTTTTAGTAGTTCTCTGTAGACTTTTTAAAATGACAAACAAATGCACATAGGGAACAGAATAATGGCAGTAGATTAACCATCCTGATTAATTAATGTGTGTGACATCTGAAACATAGCCTTCATGTGTATGGTTCTCTGAGCATTCTTGGAACCCTTGAAAAAATGAGGTTCCCCATTGCAAAGGTCTAGCCGTACAGTTGTATGCATGTAGACTTTTGTTGTGTTCTATGTTACTGGTGATGTAAGCTTCTCCCTTTAACTCTTTTTTTTTTTTTAAACCTTTATTAATTATTAAGTTCACAAAAAAGAGCAATCCAAAAGTAAAACTATTATAACATTATCAACTGGTAGATACTCCTAAAAAAACCGAGGCTAAACAAAAATTTTCATACAGTTTTCATACACCCACATAACATCTCATATTGATACATGTTTACAATAACCTTACAATTCTAACCAGATTCTATAATCATTTCTACATGGACAAACTTCATTCTGTCTCAGAAACCCAATAACTGGCTCCCATATTTCATTATACTCACAGGGTGAAAAAGACAAATGGGAACCAACAAAGAAAGAATTGTTTACTGTTTCCCCCATGATATAAACATCCCAAAGTTTGTCAAACCAGGCATCTATGGAAGGCCGATTTGGGTTTTGCCATTTGGCTGCAATCACCTGCCGTGCAGCTGCAAGGAACATTGACTCTTTTCAGATTGGATCACTGGACAAGACCACCATAGATGTAAGGGGGAGCCTAATTGATTACACCCTTTCCAGTAAAGTGGGCCATAAGAGGATCTAATTTTATTAAGTTTGGTTGGGCACAGATTCCAATTAGAGATTGTCTTATAAAATTGAATCTTTAAAGGAACTATAGATGATTTTTTAGAAAGGGAGTTCCATAGTTTCTACCATTCTTCAGGAGTTAAAGTCCATTTTAATTCTTTCTCCCAAACCTTAGTATAAGTAGGGGGGTTGTTGTTTATTGTATCTTGGAGGTTCTTATAAATCTTAGACAGTAAACTTTTGGTTTCTTCATCAGTGTTTCTGAGAATTTCATCTTAATGGCTGAAGAAGATGACCATCTTTTATAAACTGCATTATTAAATTTTGGATTTGAGAGTACTGAAACCAGTTAATTTGATGACCTAATGTGTCATATTTTTAGAAATAATACTGCCATTCAATATCCAGACACAAGGCCTATCTAAACCAGTCCTCATCCATTCCTGGTATCTGAAGGGTTCCTAACCAGGGGGAAACCACTGTTGATTTAAAATAGTTGATACTGGAAAGGGATGAGGAGCTAAGATTTTTCTGTAATTATCCCAAATTCTTAAAGTATTATAGAGGAAATGATTAGCTGGGATTGAATGAGATCTAAAATTCTGTGTTGTCCAGATAATTCCTTTCAATGTCAAGGGGTCAGCGAAAACCTCCTCTATAGAAATCCATGTTTCATTTGGAAAGGTATGCAAAAACTGAACTAACTGTGCTAAATTTGAGGCAACATAATACATCTTCAGATCAGGAGACTGGAGGCCACCCCTTTTACCTGGTTTGCTTAAAGTCATATGAGAAATCTGTGTGTGTGTGTGTGTGGGGGGGTTTGGCCCAAATAAATTTATTTAGTGAACTTTGCCAAAGTTTAAGTTTCTTCTCAGGAATCTCTACTGGAATTGTCCTGAATAAAAGTAAAAACTTCAGCAAACTAAAACTTTTTACTATAGATATCTGCTCATGCCAAGCCCCCGCTGGGGGAGGGGGAACCCCCAATTTACAAGCCCCTTACCCACTTTTTAAAAATTCGGGCCCAGGGGAAAAAATGGCGGCCAGAAATTGCCAGTCTAGCATTTAAGGGCTAGAGCATGTTCCCTCTAGTATGCTCCGCCTGGAGCACAGTTCCGGCTGGCTTCCGAGCTGCCCCTCCCTTCTCAGAAGCCCTGCTTTGCTCAGGTGCAGTGATATTTCCCTCCTTCTTGCCTCTGGCATCGCAGCTCTTTCCTTTCCAGCCTCCGATATCCTGCTTGAGTGGTGGTGAGAAATCCCTCTTTTATGTCTTATAGTCAAGCTGTAGCTTCCCTGTAGTGTGTGTGGGGGGTTGGGTTTCAGAGTCTCTACCCAAAAGCCATTTGCTCTCGGAGCTTTTTTTTTTTGGGGGGGGGGAGCTGTGTAGTCTGCTTTTGCACACTTCCTGCAATGGCCATTGGCAGAGGATGCTATTTGCCAGCTCTGAAGTTTTACTCCTCCAGGCTGCAGAAAGGAAGGTGGAGTGTGTGTGTGTGTGGACAGAGAGAGAAAGAGAAAGGAGTAGAAAAAACTGTGAATTAAAAACAATATATATACAAAACAGGCTTCTTACTATTTGCAGTGCAAATTGTTGAAAAATTGAAGCAAAACTCCCCCCCCCCTTTCTGACTGCTCACGACAGAAA